AAATGAGATTGTTGGGGGGCAATAGGCTGACTCTGTAAACTTCTTAGAGAGGGCTGCAAAGCGTTGTGAAGCGGTATATATGTCTAAGTGCTATTGCTATGGCTATTCCCTAGCGAGCATACAGGTACCACCTGTGGTACATTGGCACCTGGCAGGTGATACGTGACCATCCTAGAAAAGTGGTAGCGGGGGAGGGGAATGAGCTGAACTGGGGGCAGCACCGCACAAGCCTGTGCGAGAGGTGGCTGGAGCTGCAGGGCTGCCAGGGCTCAGCGGAAGCACCAGGATCAATGCCGCTTTCAACCTGATTGGCGCTTCTTCGGGGCTGTCAGGGCTCAGTGGAAGCACCAGGATCAGTGCCAGGCTCCAGCTGCAGCTTGGCGCTGAACCTGGTGCTTCTGCTGAGCCCCGAAGAAGCACCAATCAGCTGGAAAGCAGCACTGATTCTGCCGCTTCTGCTGAGCCCAGAAGAAGCACCAATCAGCTGGAATGTTGCAGCATCTCCAGGGTCTTGTGATTTACATTCAGATGCTTGACAACTGATTCATATTTATGACGGTCGCAGTGTCCTAGGGTCATGTGAAGTGACCAAAACCTGCTGCAGCCACCCAGCAGACGGGGGGGGGGGGGGAATAAAAACCAAACACCCCCCACCTCATCTCTGCTGCCAATCCTCAACAGAAATGCTCACAACAATGAAAACCATGGACAGAAGGAAGAGCGCCACCAGGTGGGCAGGCAGGTGTCTTGCTTGACTGTGGTTTGCGGGGCACTTTTTCAGTGCCATTGTAACTTCGAACAGTCACTAAGCGAACTGTTGTAAGTCGAGGACTACCTGTACTTTATCACTTTTTTCCTTTTTGGGGGGGATCATCAAGTTTTTGACACCTTGCTAGGCGACTGGTAGTACTTGGATGTTGCCATATCCTAAAAGTGGTACAATGGGTGAAAAGGTTGAAAAGCCCTGGGCTAGGGGATTCTGGGAGTTGAAGTCCACCTCTCTTAACGATGCTGAGGTTGAAGACCATTGGACTGGAATGACCCCATTTTTCATCCACGTCTTTATCCAGTCCTTCTGTCCCTCGAGCGGCAAAGTCCATCTCGTCATCAGCTGAAAGTTGGCCGGTGACCCACAACTTATTTTGGAAACCGGCTTTGTGTCTTTACTGGAGGAGATGGACTATTGTACGCAGAAGCTGTTGAGGAAGTATTGCTTTGTGAATGAAGCGGAGGAGTTTCTCCACCGGCCCTGCTGTTCCAGTAAACACAGCCCCTCTCTCTCTGTTGTCTTTGAAATCAAAGGAAGGATTGGACAATTGCAGGGAGCCCCGTTGAATTTGCTTATACAATGTGCCTTATTTTTTCCGGTCCCCTTCTGCGAAGCTGATTGATTGCTTCCTTTCCACAGCACGGTGGGGTCAGTCATATACAGTAATTGGAACCCCCTAGTGAAATGAAACCATTAGTCCATTTCCTTGCAGGCAAGGAGTAGGAGGAGGAGAAGGAGTAGTAGTAGTAGGAGGAGTAGGAGTTGGAGAAGAACAATAGTTTTCCAAAAGGCAGAGAAAGAATAGCCTCAACTGAAGGGAATGATCTCTGGAGACTGGGGGAGAAACACAGCCAGAGAAATGGTTGAGGAAGAGCCAGCCTGGTCCATAGGAAAAATGGGGGCAGGGTAAACGTCAATCAATCAGAGTACAGCTGGAAGGGACCTTGGAGGTGTTCTAGTCCAATCCCCTGCTCAAGCAGGAGACCCTATACCAGTGGTTCTCAACCTTTCTAATGCCGCGACCCCATAATACAGTTCCCCATGTTGTGGTGACCCCCAACCACTTATACATCACCCGGTGCCAGGGCGTGGCCAAAGAAAAGGGGGAAAAAATGACGGACAGCCTTGTTTGGCGACCCCCGTGAAATGGTCATTCGACCCCAAATGGGGTCCCGACCCACAGGTTGAGAACCACTGCCCTATACTGTTTCAGACAAAATGGCCGTCCAGTCTCTTCTTAAAAGCCTCCAGTGATGGAGCACCCACCGGAGTTCCACTGGTTAATTGCTCTCACTGTCAGGAAGTTTCTCCTTAGTTCTAGGTTGCTTCTCTCCTTGATGAGTTTCCATCCATTGCTTCTTGTCCTGCCTTCAGGCGCTTTGGAGAATAGCTTGACTCCCTCTTCTTTGGGGCAGCCCCTGAGATATTGGAAGACTGCTATCATGTCATCCCTCATCCTTCTCTTCATTAAACTAGACATACCCAATTCCAGCAACCGTTCATTATATGTTTTAGTCTCCAGGCCTTAAATCATTGTAGTTGCTCTTCTCTAGACTTTTTCCGAAGTCTCAATATCTAGGTATTTCTCCTCCTCCTCCTCCTCCTCCTCCTCCACCTCCTCCTCTTCCTCTTCCTCTTCCTCTTCCTCTTCTTCTTCTTCTTCTTCTTCTTCTTCTTCTTTGCAGAGCAGAACCATACTTTCAGACTTTGAAGGTCTTCTAATGCCGGTTAATCTAGATAGGAGCATAGAAAGTAGAATCACAAGGCTGGAAGGGACTTCAGAGGTCATCTAGTCCAACCCTCTGCTCAAGCAAGAGATTTTATGGCATTCTGGTCAAATGGCTCTCCAATCTTTTCTTGAAAACCTCCAGCAATGGAGCACCCACCGCTTGGTAGGACAGTCCCAGTTCACAATGGATTTGGCCTTTTTGTCCAGCTACTGAGTCTTTCCCCAGGACAAATGTTATTTTTTGATGGATTTATGGTCTTGTCGCAGGATGAAAGCTGTGCCAAATAAAGCTATATTTTGCAATCGACGGTTGGGGATTTTGTCAGTGCCGATGGTGTTCAAGTGGTACTCCAGATATATTTATTTCTGTTTTGCAGGCCTGTCCCAATTTTCATCCTCTTGTACACCATTGTTATTTTTATCATGCCCATATCCCAACTTGTATATTGCACTTCATATATGTTTAACTCCCTGTCATCCACACCAGCTGGACTAGAAGACCTCCAAGGTCCCTCCCAGCTCTTTTCTGATTCTGATTCTGCTTCACACCGTCCAGCCACAACCTTCTTCACTGGTAGCGAAGAAACAAAAACAAAAATCTTGGAAATGAGCAGCTGGCTAGGAAACTGGCATCATCAGGGAAAGTCTGAATTTCTAGATTATGGCCTACGTTGCCAGCGTTAGAAATGGGTGGCATCTCACACCAAAACTATTTTTTTCCTGAGCCTCAACCTTTTTACTCATCGTGACAGGGCTTTTCCACAACATCTTGGCATGTTCCTTCAGCCTTGAGTCGCCCACAATACCAGTGAATCAGTCTCCATGTTGGGTTGTACATGAGTTATTTCAATCTGAGTCATCTTTTCTTGAATCTATTCCTGGCCATCAGCAAAGAGGGTTGAGGATTTCTCTGACTTTGATGGGATTTTAGAAATGGTACAGTTTTATTTAGACCAGGGGTAGGCCACCTTGGCTCTTTTATGACTCGTGGACTTCAACTCCCAGAATTCCTGAGCCAGCATGGCTCAGCATGGAAACCTCTCCCTTTCTCCTCAGCTTGGCTGGCTCAGGAATTCTGGGAGTTGAAGTCCACAAGTCATAAAAGAGCCAAGGTGGCCTAGCCCTGGTCTAGGCCTAGGCCGCTTTATGACTGGTGGACTTCAACTCCCAGAATTCCTGAGCCAGCATGGCTCAGCTTGGAAACCTCTCCCTTTCCCCTCAGCTTGGCTGGCTCAGGAATTCTGGGAGTTGAAGTCCACCAGTCATAAAAGAGCCAAGGTGGCCTACCCTTGATATAGATGTTTTCCTCCTTCCCTCCCTCCTTTTTTCAGTGCCATTATAACTTTGAGCGGTGACTAAATAAACTGTTGTAAGCTGAGGATAACTTGTAATTCTCATTCTGCGATATGCTTTGGACTGGTGGGAAAGGAGCCCAAAATTTGAGGTTCATAGGACAGTATGCAGAACCAGGCTCTGGGTTCTCCTGCACAATGAAATAACGTGTTGTCTAGATATTGTACTTTGAGGAAATACAACAGGTTTTGTGCTGGGCGAGTTTAGCACATTCCGACAACTCTCTGAGCAACCTGCTTGTATGGGCATCTGCAACCGACAAGAAAATGAGTCTGTTGCCATGACCCAGCTTTCAGACATGATGTGTAGAGAGCAAGGAATATGACTTCGACTCAGTAAGTGCCAAAGTAAATGAGATTTGTTGCTAAGGGAATGAGAGCTGAAATCCACCAGGGACAGATAATATTTGGAAGTGGCTCAGACCTGTCTAAGCATAACAATAATAAACAGGTACGCACAATTTTTTGCACAAAGATTAAAATACGAATTGCAAATAAGCAGCTGGAATTGATTTAGAAAGTTTTGCAAAGTTTCCTGTTTTTGCCGACAGCAAAATGGTTGGACCATTTTTAGCCCAGGTTTGGGGGAGATTTCCTGTCCTCGGCATCAGCGGTCCCCAATCCCCTGGCTTGAACTGTTCCAAACCGGGCCACAGAAGTGGCGGGCAAGCATGCATGAACATGCATATCCCCATGTGCAAGCAGCAGGTGAGCAGGTGCACCCAGATGAGTGGGTGCACATGCCCGCTGCACAAATGGAGCTGTGCACACTTGTCTGTTACTTGCATGGAGCCGTCCCCTCTACTACTCCTCCAGGCCACAAAGCAGAAATCTTTGACAGGTGGCTATAACAATTTAAGATTCCCAATCCCAGTAGCCTTGTTCAAAAGAGGCTTTCTGGAAATAACTACTACGTTAATCCCCTGTTCTAAGGTCCACATGGTAAACTTTCATTATATGGTGAGTATGAAGTTCTGAGAATTAGGTTTTCTAGCTCTGCCTTCAAAAATGAAAGTCCCAGTGTCTCTTGTGAGCAATTTGCTCACAAGATATTTTGATTCTCCATTCACTCCTGGTTAAATCCACTTAAATCTAGCCATGTTTCGGAAAAGATTTGACTGTGTGCTTGTTCCATCTTATTTCATTTCAGAAGATCTCCCACATCTGTGTCCAGAAAAGATTATTTGCCCAGAGACGTTTTGGAATTAGGTCAGTTCTGTTTGGTGAAATATTTGCTGCAGTGTTTCTCTCCCACGGTAAATTTAAGATGGTGGACTTCAACTCCCACAATGCCACACCCAGCATCTGAAGGAAGAAAGTAAGGAAGGAAGGAGGAAGGAAAAGGAGAAAGGAAAGGAAGGATGAGAGGGGGGAGGAGGAGGAGGAGGAAAGAGGGAGGAAGGAGGGAGGAGGAGAAAGAAGATAAGTAGAAAATGGAGAAGATAGGAGAAGGAGGAGAAGAAGAAGGAGGAGGAGGAGCAGAAGGAAAGAGGGAGGAAGGAAGGAGGAGGAGAAAGAAGATAAGTAGAAAATGGAGGAGGAGGAAGAGGGGGAGGAAGAAGACAACGATGACTGTGGGGTCTTTGGTGCTCTCTGAGCTTGGTTGTTTTCTTGCAGACGTTTCATGACCCAACTAGGGAACATCATCAGTGCCAGAAGGGAGTGGGGTTTGTGGAGAGGAGATCAATAGGGAAGCCGAAGGAGGAGGAGGAGGAGGAGGAGGAGGAGGAGGAGGAGGAGGAGGAGGAGGAAGAGGAGAAGATGATTTGTAAATTTGGAGGGTAGTGGAAAAACCTGTTTGCTGATCTGGGGAATTCTGGCAGTTGAAGTCCACCCATCTTAAAGTTGTCAAGGTTAAGAAGCACCAATATATTGTGATATTGTGTTATGTTTCTTTGTCCTGAACTTGGTATTAGAAAATTCCAATAAAAGCTTCTGTATTAGGTATCTTCAAAATGCAACCATTTATTTAATAACTATGTGAACATCCTTTCCATGTGCCTTTTGAACCCTATTGCATTTTTGTTCTCAACCTAGTCTGTTGGGTGACTGACATCACCATGACATATAAGGAATAGCTTATGGCTATATTAACTGTAGTTAAGGATGGCATAACCTGTTTCATCAGTGGGTTTTTATCTCAAGGAGATAAAGAAAATCAAGTTTTAGTTTAAAAAAATAACAAGGAGAAAAACGCTGTTTTAACCTTGTTAGAGAATTTTAATTTCTCTATTGGTGAAAAATAAATCAGAAGCTCTCACAGTTGACTGCATTTAGCTGATTCAAACAACTTTATATTTATATAAAAATATTTACAATACCATTCTTCTTTACAGCAACATAGCTTAACGAAGACCTCTTACAGAGACAGACCAGAGACAAAACTTGAGACTGGAAATCCAGCTCCTAACTCAATACTCTTTTGCACAGACTCAGTAGCACTTTCTTCACATTGGCTGACTGAGTTACCACATGACTCTTCCTGTTCATGAATATTCCAACAAACCTTGAATATTAAAACGCAAATACTTGAATATTGAAGGACTTTCAAATATAGAGTGGTCTGAAAATAGAAAATTCAAATAAAATTTTGTGGTCTAATAGGGCATAAGATGCTGCTAGATTACTACAACGACTGTTCCCATGTTCCAGATGTTGACCTCTTATTTTCCTTTATTAGTTGATGTTGAGGATGAAGAAAGCTGGGAGAATGTTGGGAAGGATCCTGAACCTTTGGCTCTATATACCTGTCAAGTGACAACCAAGCCCATTGATTTCATTCTTGCAAAGGTGAGCTGTGCATTAAGTTTGGCAAAGGACTGAGTCTGAATGGGGAGGGGATTTCTGGAAGTTTGGCCCCCAAACCCATCGACCATTAACAGGCACGAAGAGATAAACAATATTTACACACCTTTCAAAAGAAAGAGTTAAAAAGTCAAGAAGGAAACAAAAAGACCAAAATAACACCATCTCTAGCAGCTAACAACCAGATACGTAGGGATTAACGCCAGACAAACAATCAATATCAAGAAGAAAACCCCTCCCTCATCAACACTGCCAGGGCAAACTATTGTATGTAAACAATGAGCAACCCAGACTCACTAACACTGATGATGTTACCTAGTCGGGTCAGGAAACCTGTGCAAACAAACAACCAAGCTCAGAGACCATTAAGGACACCACAGAATCTGAATATGTGGTCAGCTTATTCTGTGCTAACCTTCAAGGGATTTGTTTCCTTTTGTTCATTCTTAGCTAAATTAAATGTGCTGAATTGTAAGAGAAGAGCAAGCAGAGCCTGGTGGAGGGGTCAAGCAAGTCATAAGTCTAGAATCATTACATTACCACAAAAGGTTTAAGTCCAACCGCTTTTAAATTCCGTTGACTCTTATCCAGGGTCAATTTGGTGCTGAACATTAGTTGACTAGATTCTTGTGAATATGCATGATCAATAAATTATCTTAACTGGAACTTAATGTGGTTCTAATTCTTTGTGCCTGATTAAAACCGCCCTGTAAAAATTGATCAACGGATTGCCTGTTCAGATAGTCCTCGACTTAAAACTATTCTTTAGCAAACATTCAAAGTTAAAACGGCCCTGGAAAAATGTGAGATATGACCGGTTCTCACACTTATAAACATCGTCACATCCCTATGGTCACATGGTCAGAATTCAACCACTTGGCAACCGGCATGTACTTATGACGGTTGCACTGTCCACAGTTGCCTTTTGTAAAAGCATCTTTGGGACAAAACTGAGCAGAGGGTTGGGCTAGATGGCCTCCAAGGTCCCTTCCAACTTCTTCTTCTTCTTCTTCTTTCTTCTTCTTCTTCTTCTTCTTCTTCTTCTTCTTCTTCTTCTTCTTCTTCTTCTTCTTCTTCTTCTTCTTCTTCTTCTTCTTCTTCTTCTTCTTCTTCTTCCTCTTCCTCTTCTTCTTCTTCTTCCTCCTCCTCCTCCTCCTCCTCTTCTTCCTCTTCTTCTTCTTCTTCTTCTTCCTCTTCCTCTTCCTCTTCTTCCTCCTCCTCCTCTATGTCTTCTTCTTCTGATGTCATTTTTTAAAAATATTTTTTTATTTTTTAAATCAACAAAACAAAATCAAACATAACACACATACATATACAGTGTATACTCCTTTTTTTAAACAGCAATTTTGTAACGGTAATCTTCTATTATTTACATTTCCCCCCTTATTCTTCTTTAGATATATTTGTCCTTGTTGTCCCGTTGTTTCTTATTTGCATTTTTCTTCCTTCATACTACATTTTATACTAAGAATAATACATATTATTATGACTATACATTATTATACACACATTTTCCACTTTCAACCTTTCCATATTTATTCTCCTCTATTATTTCTAGTCTCCAACCAGTCATACCACTTGTTCCATATTAGATAGTACTCTGTGTCTTCCTTTTCTTTTATCTCTTTTGTTAATTTGTCCCTTCTGATGTCATTTAAAAGTGTTTGCTGGTTGGAGAAATGGTAAGCAAATGCAAGTTGGCATTAATGATAGATTCCTGAGCAGCAATTCTCTTAAGTTTTGTTTTAGCAATTAAACTTGAAAAGAGACTTTTCAAAACGATGGGCAGGGTGAAGAAATGCAGAAGGGATCTGCAGCCAAACCTCATTTTGCTTGCCATGACTCATTTTTGCTGAAACAACATTATAAGGAAAAAGAAAGCATATGCCAAGTTAATGCACCATTTATAGCATAGGGGTTAAGTGGGAGATTACAGGTAGTCTTCAACGTATGTCCACAAGTGAGCCCAAAATTTATGTGGCTAAGTGAGAGAGTTGTTAAGTGAGTTTTACCCCATTTTATGGCCTTTCTTGCCCCAGTTGCTAAGTGAATCACTGCAGTTGTTAAGCTGGAAACACGGTTGTTAAGTCAGCCTGGCTTCCCCCATCGTCTTTGCTTGCCAGACGGTCGCAAAAGGGCATCACGTGACCCTGGGACACTACAACCGTCATAAATATGAGTCAGTGGCAGTGTCTGAATTTTGATCATGTGACCACAGGGATGCTGCAATGGTCGTAGGTGTGGAAAACGGCCTTAAGCCACTTTTTTCCATTGTAATTTTGAATGGCCACTAAGTGGATTTGTTGTAAGTTGAGGACTATCTGTATATATGTTCTCCAGCTTTGTCTTCCCTGGTTTAAGAGGGTGTCTCTCAGTCTTTGTCATTATATGTGTTTCCCAAATAAATGTAGGAGTTTTTTCTTTCATATCTGCTCTTTCTTTTATTCCACCTTTCCTTTTTTCTGTTAATAAAGGACCTAAAAACTCTGCTTTTCGGCTCCAGTCTTGGATGCTTCCATGAAGAATGGAAAATCCAGAGTTTTACATTCAGCGAAAACCCGCAGTTGAAATACGGCATTGTGCAAAAAAAGGTAACCACTTCCCATCGGGCTCCCCGAATCACTAAGAAGCTCTCACTGACTAGAGTTGGTAAACTTCACCTGCAAGGAACTTTCCATTGTCTCAAGGTGCTTTTTTGAAATGGCAATCTGGACTCTGTTTTTCTTTGAAGGCGTTTCGCTTCTCATCCAAGAAGCTTCTTCAGTTCTGACTGGAGGAGGAAAGGACTTACATTCCTTGCAGTCATCTGGTCGTTTGTACTCTTTCTCAGAGTTGATGAGGCCACTTCCAACCTCCACCATTCAGTCAGAACTAAAGAAGCTTCTTACATGAGAAGGGAAACTTCAAGCAAAAACAAAGTCCAGTTGCCTCTTGAAAAAGCACCTTTGGGACAACCATGACCTGGATGATGGACACTTTCATAGACACTTTCCATTGCCTAGGCTAGAGATAGGCCACCTTGGCTCTTTTATGACTCGTGGACTTCAACTCCCAGAATTCCTGAGCCAGCATGGCTCAGCTTGGAAACCTCTCAATTTCTCCTCAGCATGGCTGGCTCAGGAATTCTGGGAGTTGAAGTCCATAAGTCATAAAAAAGCTAAGGTGGCCTATCTCTGGCCTAGGCCCAGGCCGCTTTATGACTGGTGGACTTCAATTCCCAGAATTCCTGAGCCAGCATGGCTCAGCTTGGAAACCTCTCCCTTTCCCCTCAGCATGGCTGGCACAGGAATTCTGGGAGTTGAAGTCCATGAGTCATAAAAGAGCCAAAATTGCCTATTCCTGATATAGGATGCCATGCTGGTAGAGGAATTCTGGGAGTTGAAGTCCCCTCATCTTCCTAGTAACTCAGGGGTAGGCCACCGTGGCTCTTTTATGACGCGTGGACTTCAACTCCCAGAATTCCTGAGCCAGCCATGCTGAGGGGAAAGGGAAAGGTTTCCAAGCTGAGCCATGTTGGCTCAGGAATTCTGGGAGTTGAAGTCCACGCGTCATAAAAGAGCCAAGGTGGCCTACCCCTGGTCTAGGCCTAGGCCACTTTATGACTCGTGGACTTCAGCTTGGAAACTCTCCCTTTCCCCTCAGCGTGGCTGGTTCAGGAATTCTGGGAGTTGAAGTCCACGAGTCATAAAAGAGCCAAGGTGGCCTATCCCTGGCCTAATCCAATTTATTCCCAAGAGAAAAAAATATATAGAAAGAATCCATCCCCGATTCTCCGTCCTCCTTAGCTGTTAATAAAGGGTAGTCCTTCTCTTGAAAAACAATTTTAAAAATCCTCCTTCCTCTGAGACATAGAGAGAAAGCTTCCACCCCGTATCTCGGCCTATCATTTGGTAGCAAATTCCTGATACAGGTAAGTCTTCAACATAACAGTTCATTTGGTGACTGTTTGAAGTTACGGTACTGGGAAAAGTAACTTATGGCCGTTTTTCACACTTAACGACCGCTGCAGCATCACGTGATTAAAATTCAGACGCTTGGCAATTGACTCCTATTTATGGCGGTCGCAGTGTCCCAGGGGCGTGTCACGTGATCCCCTTTTGCGATCTCCTGACAAGCAAAGGCAATGGGGAAACCCAGATTCGCTTAACAACTCTGGCGAGAAAGCTCATAAAGTGGGGCAGGACTCATTTAACAACTGTCTTGCTTAATAAACATAAAAATTGGGCTCCATTGTGATTGTAAGCCAAGCTCTAGCTCAGTGGTTCTCAACCTTTTTAATGCCGCGACCCCCAACCGGTTGTAAGTCGAGGACTACTCAACCGGTCGTAAGTTGAGGACTACTCAACTGGTGCAGCACCGTTTGCAGAATAGGACTTTTGGCGGGCTCAGCAGGGCAGAGACAGCCTGGACAATTCCTACTGGCTTTTGAAAGCCAATAGAATTAGACTCTATTCAAGAGAGTCTATTCTATTGGCTTTCAAAAGCCAATAAAAGGGAGTAGCACAGCTAAGGAAAAGGGGAAAAGAAAACGGCGGACTGCGTTGTTTGGCAACCCCCGTGAAATGGTCGTTCGACCCCAAATGGGGTCCCGACCCACAGGTTGAGAACCGCTGATCTAGCTGTACATTTATTTTTTTCATTCGAAAGCATTTCCTATGGATCAATAATGCCCTGAAGGGGGGTGGGTGGAGGAAAGCTTTCAACCCCCCTCCCTCCAACCCAAATTCTAGCTTGGAGGAAAGCTTTCAGCCCCCCCCTCCCCCCAACCCAAATTCTAAGTGAGTTGCCGGGTTTTATGTGTCCAACTTGAGCCCTTTTAACAGGACTTTAAAATCATCCTGAGTGGCTGTTCCTCTCCCCCTTAACCTTTTAACCATCAGAAAACCCAGATGCTTTCGATTTTGCTGGCCAGAACAAAGCCGCCACGTACCTAACCTGGCTTGGCCTTTTTAGGAAAACATCCAGGGACCTGAAGTTTTAATTAAGAACCTGGCAGCGCCAGATCTCATTGTGTCCGCGAGGGTCACCGGAGAGCGGCCAAGGACAGCAGCGGTGGGGAGAGGCCATCAGGCAGGTGAAAGAGATCCAGGCTGCAAAGGACTTTCACACGTGTTGATTTCCTCCCTTCTTTCCTGGCCTCTTCCAGGGTGGGCCGTGCGGGGTCCTGGCAGCCGTTCAAGCCCACGTCCTCCAACATCTTATCTTTGGGGACAGTAGCCGGAACAACACGGTTAGGTAAGTCCACGTTCCCCGAGGGCCCGGCAGGTTTTTTTCCATTCCCGTTCAAGGAAATTCCCCCTCCACTGTTGTGGGGAAATGGGGGTGGTCCTAGTTTTGACCTCTGTGGTGGAGTTGAAAAGTATAAGCCGTGGAAATCATGCAGATTTCAGTTCAGTTCAGAATAGAACTGGAAAGGGACCCTGGAGGTCTTCCAGTCCAGCCCCCTGCTTAAGTAGGAGACCCTATACCATTTCAGACAAGTGGCTGTCAAGTTTCTTCTTTAAAATCCTCCAGTGATGGAGCACCCACCACTTCTGAAGGCAAGCTGTTTCCACTGGTTAATTGTTCTCACTGTCAGGAAGTTTCTCTTTATATCTAGGTTGCTTTTCCCCTTGATTAGTTTCCATCCATTGCTTCTTGTCCTGCCTTCAGGTGCTTTGGAAGATAGGTTGACCCCCCCTCTTCTTTGTGGCATCCCCTCAAATATTGGGAGACTGCTATCATGTCACCCCGGTCCTTCTCTTCACTAGACTAATTCTACCTAGTTCCAGCAAATGTTCTTCATTTGTTTTAGTCTCCACATCTTTAATCGTCTTAAGTTGCTCTTTGCATTTTTCCAAAGACTCAACCTCTTTTTTGTAATGTGGTGACCAAACTGGATGCAGCATTGCAGGTGTGGCCTTACTAAAGTTTTATAAATCGGTACTAATACTTCACATGATTTTGATTCCGTGCCTCTGACTAAACAACCAGGGATTGTATTAGCCAAGGATGACAGAGGGGAGGGGAGTCGAGGTGAATTATCCAGCTGAAATCTTGTTCTCTGTTTGGAAAAGGCAGGTGATCACAGAGCTGGGATGAATGCAAATGAGAACTTCCAAGTGGAAGGAATTTCAGTGGGTGTATAATGTGTGAATGGGGGTGCAATGCACCCCAGCATCTCAGGCAACATCTGTCTCGGTCTGTCTTGGTGACACCTCACTGATATACCCTACTGATACCCCACCGATACACCTTAACCCTAACTCTAATCTTTAACCTTCTAAGTATATAACACTGACCCTATGAACCCTAACTCACTAGCCCCTTACCTTAACCCTAACCCTTAAACTTAACCTGTTAACCCTCCTAATCTTAACCATTAACTCTAGCCCTAACACTTTCCTCTCTAACCCTAATCCCTAAACATTAATCATAATCCCTAACCCTAGTCCTAATCCTAACTCTAACACCTAACTCTCAGCACCATATCCCTTAACTCTAACCCTTAATCTTAATCTTCTAACCCTCTTTAACCCTAACTCTTAATTCTAGCTCTAATGCCCTAGCCTCTAACTCTAGCCCCTAAGCATTAACCATAACCATACCTTAACCCTAATCCCTAACCCTAATCCCAACCCCTAACACCTAATACCCAGCAGCACAACTCTAATCCCTAACCCAGGGGTGTCAAACTCGCAACATCACGTGACGTGTCATGACATATTGCAACTTTTCCCCCCTTGTCGGGGGTGGGGTGGGTGCAGTTTCGGCATGATGCATCCGGCCTGCGGGCTGGCAGTTTGACACCCCTGCCCTAACCCTAACCCTAATCTGAACCCTAATTCTCTAACCCTCAGCCTTAGGTGCTTCGACATTGTACATTTCCCCTTAGGCCGGGGTAGGCCACCTTGGCTCTTTTATGACCCATGGACTTCAACTCCCAGAATTCCTGAGCCAGCCATGCTGAGGGGAAAGGGAGAGGTTTCCAAGCTGAGCCAGGCTGGCTCAGGAATTCTGGGAGTTGAAGTCCACGAGTCATAAAGCGGCCTAGGCCTAGTCCATGGGTAGGCAACCTTGGCTCTTTTATGACTCATGGACTTCAACTCCCAGAATTCCTGAGCCAGCCATGCTGAGGGGAAAGGGAGAGGTTTCCAAGCTGAGCCAGGCTGGCTCAGGAATTCTGGGAGTGGAAGTCCACGAGTCATCAAAGAGCCAAGGTGGCCTACCCCTGTCCTAGGCAGCGAAACCAATCACTTGCTCAGTGCAACAATGTGGGGCACAAGTAGACCACTCTCAGAATTCATTAACTGAAGGATTCTGGGAGTTGAAATTCCCACTCAAAGGGTGGGCAGTGCTGCCTCAGACCAAAAGAGGGGGCTACTGTTAGGACTGAAGAACCAAGAATGACATGCAGGTTTAATGTCGTTCACCTACAGACAGAATCTTGCCAGGTTAGCTGCATATGTATAGAGATATTCTGTGAAGCTCTAGGGAGGGTCTGACTTTGCCCCCTTCCTGTCCACAAGATATTCCAATATCTGCTGTCTCTTAGCCCTCTGAGAAGGAGCCTCTACGGCAGTGGTTCTCAACCTTTTTAATGCCGCGACCCCCCAACCGGTTGTAAGTGAAGGACTACTCAACCGGTCGTAAGTGGAGGACTACCCAACCGGTCGTAAGTCAAGGACTACCCAGCCGGTCGTAAGTCGAGGACCCTCCCTGCGCCCACCGGCCTCCCACCTCCCACCCCTGGCCCTCTTTTACTTACATTTTTAGTAGTTGCTCAGCAGGGAGGGGTGGAAACTTCCAGACAGCTCGCCTTCGCTGCAGACAACTTGCAGCACCGTTTGCAGAATGGGACTTTTGGCGGGCTCAGCAGGGCAGAGACAGCCTGGACAATTCCTATTGGCTTTTGAAAGCCAATAGAATTAGACTCTATTCAAGAGAGTCTATTCTATTGGCTTTCAAAAGCCAATAGAATAAAAGGGAGTAGCACAGCTAAGGAAAAGGGGGAAAAAATGGCGGACTGCGTTGTTTGGCGACCCCCGTGAAATGGTCGTTCGACCCCAAATGGGGTCCCGACCCACAGGTTGAGAACCACTGCTCTATGGACTATATTTCATCACATCTTGCAGGCTTTTGCAAGGAATACCAAAGCCCCCAAAAGATGGAGGTGCCCTCATGTGGAACATAGAATTGAGTTGGGCATTAGACTTATTGATCTTCCCAACTCCCATGACACCAGACAAGTTTGCAAAGGGAGAGTCCAGCAGTCAGAACGTCATGCTGAAAGAAAAGCTTTGTGCATCCAAGTTGGTCTTCAGATCTCAACTTGATGGTTTCCTGGGCTATGGGTGCTGAGAGCTTGGGTATCTCTGACTACAATTCCCAGCCACCCTGGCCATCAAGGCCTATGAGATGCAATATAGAAATCAGAAAAAGAGTCTTTTGGCCACCTACCACTATCCTAGACTGTACATTTTCCCTTGCTGCTTATGTCTCTCTCTAGAAGAGAATCTTCGTAGCTCAGGGTTGAATTGTGCGACCCTTGGTGCTCTTGGTTGAGCTTGGTTGTTTTCCTGCAGACATTTCATACCCAACTAGGGAACAGCATCACTGCTAGAAGGGAGTGGAGTTTGCATAGTGGAGGACAAAGGGGATGGGGAAAATGAGGAAGAAGAAGTCTGTGTGGTCCTTGGTGCTCTCTGAGGTTGGTGGTTTTTTTGTAGACGTTTCATGACCCAACTAAATAACAACATCAGTGGTGGAAGGGAGTGGGGTTTGAAGAGGAGGAGGAGGAGGAGGTTGGTGATGATGATTGTGGAGTCCTTGGTGCTCTCTAAGATTGGTAGTTTTCTTGCAGACATTTCCTGACCCAGCTAGATAACATCATCAGTGGTGGAAAGGAGGGGGGTTTGAAGGAGGAGGAAGAGGAGGAGGAGGGATGATGATGATGGAGTCTTTGGTGCTCTCTGAGATAGATGGTTTTCTTGCAGACATTCCATGACCCAGCTAGATAACATCATCAGTGGTGGAAGGGAGTGGGGTTGAAAAGGAGGAGGAGGAGGGGGAGGAGGAGGAGGAGGAAGAGGAGGAGGAGGAGGAGGAGGAGGAGGAGGAGGAGGAGGAGGAGGAGATGGTCGAGATCTATAGAGTCCTTGGTGCTTTCTGAGCTTGGTTGTTTCCTTGTGGACATTTCATGACCCAACTAGGTAACATCATCAGTGCTAGAAGGGAGAGTGGGGTTTTATTCTCTGTTTATATACCTTGGCTTGTCCTGTCAGTGTTGGTGGAAATATTCTTTTCTTCTTGGTAGTTTCTTGATTATGATCTCTCTCTTTTCCATTACAACCTGCAGATGCCTTCGGCCATCGGACGCTGAAAGGATCCAGTGTCTCATTTTAGCTCTTGCCAGTATTTTATGGCGTGCAGGTGGCAATGACAAAGTGGTGGTGACTTTGTAAGTGAGAAGTACAATTTTGTTTTTTGTTTTTTGTTTTAAAAAGAACACGCTATCCTTGTCCTGCTCTCCCTCCCATCCAAACTCATTTTCACCTTCTCCGATGGGAGACTTTGGAATGGCAGAAGACCCCCAAAATTGCAGGCTCCGCCTTCATTCACCAAGAAGCTCCGCTGTACAAGCAGTCCTCAGCTTATGACCGCAACTGAACCCCAAAATTTATGTTGCTAAGTGAGACATTTGTTAAGTGAGCTTTGCCCCATTTTACGACTTTTCTGGCCACGTTTGTTAAGTGAATCGCTGCAGCTAGTAACACGGTTGCTAAGTGAATCTCATTTCCCCCATTGACTTTGCTGTTCAGAAGGTCACATGACCCTGGGACACTGCGACGGTCGTAAATATGAGCCAGTTGCCAAGCATCCGAATTTTGATCACGTGACCAAGGGGATGCTGCAGCGGTCGTAAGTGTGAAAAATGGTCATAAGTCACTTTCTTCAGTGCCAGTGTAAGTTTGAACGGTCACTAAACAAACCGTTGTAATTCGAAGACTATCCCATAATAACAACCAACGGAGGAATAATAATGAAACAGTGGCTTCCTTCAACAATAGCTCATTATTACAGATTTTCCTGTGCTGTGGGCATAAAGCTTTACAGATAGTCCTTGGCTTATGACCGCAACTGAGCCCCAAAATTTCTGTTGCTAAGTGAGACATTTGTTAAGTGAGCTTTGCCCCATTTTATGACCTTCACAGTTGTTAAGTGAATCACTGCAGTTGTTAAAATAATAATAATAATAACACGGTGGTTAAACCTGGCTTCCCCACTGAGTTTGCTTGCCAGAAGGTCGTAAAAAGGGATCCCATGATCCAGGGACTCTGTGACCGCCATAAATACATGTCAGTTGCCAAGTGTCCACGTTTTGATCCCATGAACCTGGGATAACTGTCGTAAGTACATGCCAGTTTCCATCACGTGACCACGGGGATGCTGCAACAGCGTTAAGTGTGAAAACAGTCCTAGGTCACTTTTTCCACCCTGTTCTGTTGTACCTTTGAACGGTCACTAAACAAACGTTTATATGTTGAGGACGAGCTGTATGTTCCAGCGTGCCCATTCAGAATTTAATTTGAACAGAAATGAAGCTCTCTTGGCTAGTGATGTTCTACCCCCCACTTCCTCTCCCTGACCCCCCCCTCTCTCCGCCCCATAGCTAAGCAATGCTAACTTCATACTGTCTTCCTGAAGGTCATCTGAAGATTTTGGGAGTGCATGGTGGTGGTGGTGGTGGTGTGTGTGTGTGGGGGGGGGGGGGTGTGGCGGCTCCTATTAAACTGAAACTCCTTTCAGCCAACCCTCAGGAAATATGAAAACAGCGAAAACTTCAAAATAGAAAGAATACGCTAAATAGGTCTGCTGAATCACCCACAGGTTATTGCTTTTTTGCCCTGGCATTCGAGAAAATCAGAATGTTTTGTTTTTATGACCTTTTCAGGTCTACAGGAATACAGCAGTTCACGCCTGCGGGAAAATATAAGCCAGACGGGATCTTAGAAATGGTACATTTTTATTTAGACTTTTTCCTCCCTCCCTGCGTCCCTCCCTGCCTCCCCCCCATTTCTCTTCATCATCTATTGCTCCTCTCTGCTTCCCTCCCCTTCCTCTCTCTTTCTTTTTTGTTCCTTTTCATCTCCTTCCTTTCTTCCTTCCTCCCTCCTTCCCTCCCTCCCTTTCTTTCTCTCTTTCTTCCTCCCTCCCTCTTTCTCTCCCTCCCTTTCTCCTTCCTTCCTCCCTCCTTCCCTCCCTCCCTTTCTTTCTCTTTCTTTTTTATGTTCCTTTCTTCCTTCCTCCCTCCTTCCCTCCCTCCCTCCCTTTCTTTCTCTCTTTCTCCCTCCCTCTTTCTCTCCCTCCCTTTCTCCTTCCTTCCTCCCTCCTTCCCTCCCTCCCTTTCTTTCTCTTTCTTTTTTATGTTCCTTTTCATCCTTCCTCCCTCCTTCCCTCCCTCCCTCCCTTTCTTTCTCTCTTTCTCCCTCCCTCTTTCTCTCCCTCCCTTTCTCCTTCCTTCCTCCCTCCTTCCCTCCCTCCCTTTCTTTCTCTTTCTTTTTTATGTTCCTTTCTTCCTTCCTCCCTCCTTCCCTCCCTCCCTCCCTTTCTTTCTCTCTTTCTCCCTCCCTCTTTCTCTCCCTCCCTTTCTCCTTCCTTCCTCCCTCCTTCCCTCCCTCCCTTTCTTTCTCTTTCTTTTTTATGTTCCTTTTCATCCTTCCTCCCTCCTTCCCTCCCTCCCTCCCTTTCTTTCTCTCTTTCTCCCTCCCTCTTTCTCTCCCTCCCTTTCTCCTTCCTTCCTCCCTCCTTCCCTCCCTCCCTTTCTTTCTCTTTCTTTTTTATGTTCCTTTCTTCCTTCCTCCCTCCTTCCCTCCCTCCCTCCCTTTCTTTCTCTCTTTCTCCCTCCCTCTTTCTCTCCCTCCCTTTCTCCTTCCTTCCTCCCTCCTTCCCTCCCTCCCTTTCTTTCTCTTTCTTTTTTATGTTCCTTTTCATCCTTCCTCCCTCCTTCCCTCCCTCCCTCCCTTTCTTTCTCTCTCCTTCCTTCCTTCCTTCCTTTCTTTCTTCCTCCCTCCCTTTTTGTCCCCTTCCTTTTTTCCTTCCTTCCTTCCTTCCTCCTTCCTTCCTTCCCTCCCTCTTTCTTTTTTATGTTCCTTTTCATCCTTCCTTCCTCCCTCCTTCCCTCCCTCCCTTTCTTTCTCTCTCCTTCCTTCCTTTCTTCCCCCCTCTCTCCTTCTTCCCTTTCTCCTTCCTTCCTCCTTCCTTCCTCTTTCCTTTCTTTCTCCCCCCTTCCCTCCCTCCCTTTCTTTCTCTCTCTTTCTTTTTTATGTTCCTTTTCATCCATCCTTCCTTCCTTCCCTTCCCCCCTCCCTCTCTCCCTCCCTGATAGAACTAGAATGATTGTATTTTTATACTATATCCAAATTTGAACAATTGTTTTCCAAGCTATGGGATGTCACTGAGGCTGCTTCAAATTTTAATTATTTATCAAAGGAAGACGTTATTCTGGCCCCCCACTGAGAGAGTATGGGAGAGAGAGAGAGAGAGAGAGAGAGAGAGAGAGAGAGAGAGAGAGGAGGGGAAAGAGAGAGGGAGAGAGAGGAGGGGAAAGAGAGAGGGAGAGAGAGAGGGAGAAACAGGAGAGAGACAAAAAGAGAAGGAAAGAAAGAAAGAGAAAGAGAGAGAAGGAGAGAAGAGATGGAGAGAAACAGAAAGAAAGATAAAGAGAAGGGGAAAGAGGGAGAGAGACAGAGAGAAAGAGATAAAGAGGGAGAGAGAGAGAGAGAGAGAGAGAGAGAGAGAGAGAGAGAAGTTAAATGGAAAAGATATATTCAGTGTCTGGAAGTTGGTGAGAAACCAGATAAGCATAAATAAATCTTTAGGCTTATCCTCTTAGTAACTTAAACCCTCTTGGTACTGGCGGTTTGGAGTTGGTACGTGTGAGACACCCAATTCCACCAGGCAGATGTGGGAAACGCAACCTGTTTCCCTTCATCCCAGCTTTCCAAAAAAGCTGTCAGATGTTTTGAATTCTTGCTTCCCTTTCCTCTGAACATTACCCAAAGTCCAGGTGGCCCTGACAAACGGGTAGCCTAGATGAGCAAGTGCCGTCAAAGTTGAGTGGCTGTTTTGTTTATTTTAGAAAGAAAAATATCTGAACGCTGATCAGGAAAAAAAAAAGTCATTGCCTTCCAGGATTAAGAAAACTTACATGCAACTGCAATTCATTGTTTGCCATATTGGGCTACTTTAAGACAGATGGACTTCAGCTCCTATGAATTTCCAAGCCAGCCACATATTTCTCTTCCAATCCAGGAGAATTCGCACATCTGCTTCAAAAGAGCGTCATTTGGGGTGATTTTGTCACCTAGATATCAACGTTTAATTTTCCTCTCTTGTTGCAGCTTCTGTTGCACTTCATCACAAAATACGAAGATCTGCTGAAGTTCCTACAACAGAATATCCATCAGGTATGAGGACGGCAAAGGAGCGGGCAGTTCTCTGCGGGGGCCCTCAAATTATACACCTCACGCCTTGTTGTCGTTTTTTGCTTGTGTGTTTAAAAGCACCTTGTCTAGGAAAGACACACCAGTTCATCAGGAAGGGACGTGTGGCTTAGACCCGGCTCTTAACTGCCTTCCAGTTTACCTTATTTTATTTAGTTTTTTTTTTTTTAAAAAAATCCTCCCTTTATTAAAGGTAGGATTTAGCATTACGACTGTAACGGAGGCTAGAATTTCCATCGTAAGTCAGGACGGTCATAAGTCAAGGTGCCCACATGACTAACCCCCTTTGCAACTTGTTTTGGCTGCAGTTGTGAAGCAAATGGAGTAGTTGCAAAGCGAATCTGTTTTTTGGTGGCGGGGGGAGGTGGAAATCAAATGAAAAGGCCAGAAACTGGCAAAAAATAAAATAAGTCACTGTAATGTGACTGCAGAACAGTGGTAAAAGTGAGCTTGTTGCCAAGAGTCCAAAATGGCCACATGATCTTTCTGTGTGTGTGTGTGTGTGTGTGTGTGTGTGTGTGTCCATCATAACCCCAGAACTGGGTCCCAAATCCCTTTTGGAAGAGGGGTTATTGTTGTAACTTTACTAAGAAGTTCATTAAGAGGCTAGTTGTTAAGCAAGGACCATCTGTACTTTATAAATAATTCAAGGTGACAATTAAGGTGACTTATGACCTTCGCCTCCTACTTTCTGTACAACAACAACCCTGTGAGGTAGGTTAGGTTGAGGGAATGACTGGCTTATGGTCACCCAGCTGGCTTTCATGCCTAAAGTGGGACTAGAACTCCCTGTCTCCTGGTGATTGGTCCAAAGCCACTCAGCTGGCTTTCATGCCTAAGGAGGGACTAGAATTCCCTGTCTCCTGGTGATTGGCCCAAAGTCACCCAGTCAGTTTTTATGTCTAAGGTGGGACTAGAACTCACCGTCTCCTGGTGATTGGCCCAAAGCCACCCAGCCGGCTTTCATGCCTAAGGAGGGACTAGAACTCTCTGTCTCCTGGTGATTGGCTGAAAGTCACCCAATCAGTTTTTATGTCTAAGGTGGGACTAGAACTCACCGTCTTCTGGTGATTGGCCCAAAGTCACCCAGTCAGTTTTTATGCCCAAGGGGGGACTAGAATTCACCATCTCCTGATGATTGGCCTAAAGTCACCCAGCTGGCTTTGTGCTCAAGGCAGGACTAGAATTCACGTTCTCCTGGTTTCTAGGCCACACTGGCTCAGATAGACAGCAGAATGAAACAATTAAGCAATAAATAATAGCCAAGAATGCCAGTGTTTTAGAAGGTAATAAATGAACAGTTTAACACTGTACAGTATGTTTGTCTGTTAGATTCATGCACCGCCTTTTCCTCAGCAGTTACAGACAACATACTGCTGTTTCCTCCTTCTATTTTTCCTCCGAACAATAACCCTGTGAGGTAAGAATGGCTGATAATCCAGCATCTTTGCCATGAATTGAAAGTGGCTTTTTGTAATAAAATGGCAGGAGCATCCAATGATGCATGAGCGTACACACACACAGACACACACACAAACACAAAAACAAACACATTTATTTTATTTGTTAAATTTATTTGCTGCCCACATCACTATGGGATTATTCTGAGTACTCTAGGCATACACAGTAATACATATACGTATGGATATCTTAAGAGCGTTTCAATACAATAAACGATATAAAAAAAGTAAAAGAAAAACTAAGACAAATAAAGAAGTCAAGGAAAGTGAAATGAAGTGGAGAAAGAGGGAAAACACAAAACTACGACTTCCTCCCTTCTTTCTGCCAAATAACAGAATAATTGACATCTATTTTTTTTCCATTTCCCCAGAACTTTTTTTTTTAAATTTCCCAAATCCATAAATCACCAAACGAGTCCTTTTCTTCATCAAAAGGTCCATCTAAGATTTCTCGCCTTTTTCCTCTCTCTAAGAAATTGTTTTGAGTGGTCCTTAAGAATGTTTGTGGAACAGGCTGAATTATGTTTTAATGGCTTTACCGATCTGAACTACATTTGCCCATCTTATTTTGGTCTGAAAATTAAGGAAGGACAGGCTAATTAGGGCCTGAGGGAAGGGGTGGATGTCCCCACTGGCTCCTGATGTAGGTCAGAAAGAGGCAGGGCTGTCCTTGTGCTGTTGCAGTTGCCACCTTTGTGAACCAACCGGCTTATTAGCTTTTAAAAAGTGGATTATAAAGGTAGGTGGGCTCCAGCTTCAGCACAAAAAACACACACAAGGGGCAATGCAAAGATACAAGCAGTCCCCAAAATACAACTGAGCCCAAAATTTCTGTGGCTAAGCAAGACAGTTGTTAAGTGAGTTTTGCCCCGCTTTACGGCCTTTCTTGCTACAGTCGTTAAATGAATCACTGCAATTGTTAAGTTAGTAACAGGGTTGTTAAGTGAGTCTGGCTTCCCCCCCATTGAGTTTGCTTGCCAGAAGATCACAAAAGGGACCCAAAAGCCGTCATAGGGGTCTAGATTTTGATCAGGTGAGCATGGGGAAGCAGCCACAGTCGCAAGTGTGAAAAATGGTGGTGTCACAGAAAAAAGTGGCGTAAGTCAAGGATAATCTGTAAGCATTCTTGTCCAAAAGGTTTTTAAAAGCCTCCCAAAGTTACAGGGATTTGTTCCTAATTGCTAGTGGAAACAAAGTTGTATGTTGAAAACCCCACAAAGACGTCACCACTACCGTGACACTGTCACACAAATATTCCATTTCAGCAACAGGGTTGAGACAGCTTCTAGTCTGTCCGTAAATAGGGGCAGGGTAATTTTGAACCGTGTCTCTCTCTGTCTTGCTTGCCCTGCTGGTTATTGGCATTAAAATAGGAAGAGGGAGGTCTCTCAAGGAGTTCCTGAATGAAAAGCAGGACAAACAACAACAACAACAACAACAACAATAATACTAAAGTTGGAAGGGGCCTTGGAGGTCATCTAGTCCAACCCCCTGCCCAGGTAGTAGACCTTATACCATTTCAGACAAATGGCTGTCCAGTCTCTTCTTAAAAACGTCTAGTGTTGGAGCATTCACCACTTCTGGAGGCAGGTTGTTCCACTGGTTAATTGTTCTCACTGTCAGGAAACTTCTTCTTAGTTCTAACCCATGCAGGTAGTCCTCGAATTACGACCACAATGGAGCCCAAAATTTACATTGCTAAGTGAAACATTCCAGAAACTAAGAAGAATCATTGCGTGCATTTTTTGTTCAACCACAAATGTTTTGCCTGGGGAGGCCCCTATTTTGGTCATCACTCCATATTTTTCATGTTCCACCTTCCCCTTGATCTGTCTTTCAGTTTGAGGCTGGTCCACATGGCTGCATTCTTCTGACTTTATCAGTGATATTGTCAAGATCCATCAATCGGTGAGTTTGTTTGCATTTCATTCGGAGAGATCTAATTAGCGCTTAAGCCCCTGGTACATATTTGAAAGATGGACATGAGCCGAAGTTTCAAAGAATGTTTGAAGATAGATAGAATTCTTTAGGTTTCTCAGAAAATGTCCGTGCTGGTTTCTTGCCTTAAGCACGTACACATTCATAACTACCACCGCTGAATTTTGCTAGATCAGACATGTCAAACACAAGGCTCGGGGGCCAGATGCGGCCCGCAAAGTGGTTTCATGTAGCCCGCGAAGGCATCCTGGAAACAGTGAGGGAACGGCCCCCGCGGCCTTGGCCCTGGCCCAGGCCGGCCGGGAGCCAATGTACAATTTTGTGGTGGCCCTCTATGCTGAAACGCATTCAGTCTTAGCTCCACAAGGCCGTCCAGAAACAGCGAGGAACCAGCCCCTGCCGTGTTGGCCCCGCCCCCGGGTGCATGCTGGGGAGGTGTCACCCTTTGTGAGGAATGAAGGAATGGGCCATGCCTTGGCGCTTGCCCCGGTCCCACCGCCTTCTGCCAGAGACCCTCAGATCTGTCCCACTCCTGCCCAGGCCCCCACAGGCACCCTTGACGCAAACGATGTAGAGATGGCCACACCCACCCAGTAGGCCACACCCACTCCAGCCACACCCACTCAGTAGGCCGCACCCATCCTGGTCACACCCACCCGGTCCCCCCGAGGGCAACCACAATGCTGATGCGGCCCTCAATGAAATTGAGTTTGACACCCCTGTGCTAGATCCTCCGCAACAGTTTTCTCTCCTGTGAAGGGAATTATACTCTGATTATTCCAGATTATACTCTGGAACCCAGAGGACAAGAAGTTTTAACATATTTTATAAAGCAAGTGCATGACTTGGTGGGCTTTCGCTTGCCAGGAAAGATACTTTTCTCAAACGTTCACAAATTTGTAAAATCAGTTTTCCCTGTTTTTCTTAACCTTGTCAGGTGTGTGGACTTCAACTCCCAGAATTCCGTAGCCAGGATGGGTGGCTGGGGAATTCTGGGAGTTGAAGTCCACATATTTTAAGCTTGCCAAGGTTGAGAAGCACAGTTTGTCATCCTAATTCCAAGGTTGTTGAGTGCCAATGGGATACTTGAAGCCATCATGACATCCTTGTGTGAAGAAAATAATGTACATAGCATCATGGGACCTGCTTCTTCTGGTGCCTGATTCTGGAGCGACATCAAGGAAAAATTGAAATTGGAAGAACATCCAAACTAAAGATTGAAGGCCATTTCATGGTCTCTTTTGAGAGTAATCTGTCTCTAGATCTGTGTCCCACATTTTATGACCTTTCTTGCCACAGTTGTTAAGTGAATCACTGCAGTTGTTAGTGACACGGTTGTTAAGTGAATCTGGCTTCCCCATTGATTTTGCTTGTCAGAAGGTCACAAAAGGGGATCACATGACTCTGGGACGCTGCAATCGTCATAAATATGAGTCAATGGCCAAGCATCTGAATTTTGATCACGTGGGGAATGCTGTTAGTGTGAAAAACGGTTGTAAGTCACTTTTTTCAGTGCTGTAATTTAGAACGGTCACTAAATGAACTATTGTATTTGCTTTACTGGGATTATGACTAAAAGGATTTAGGAACCATATGCTCAGTGGAATTTTTTTTTTTTTTTTTAGTGTAGCAGATTAAAAACCTGAACCTATTAGCTCAAGAGCTGAAGTCCTTAATAAGAGGAAATAAACACGGGAACTAATTTGGCCCCCTTCCTATCTTCTGTTTATGTTGAGCAGCTTTAATGAATGTCTGCCTTATCTGCTCAGGAGAAGGAAACGTAAGCAGGCAAGGGAGAATTTGCTGTTCTTCCTTAAAATCTTTAAGATCCAAAGGTCAGGCTAACCTCGCTTTTCCCATCAGTCAGAATGGCAGGCTGTTTTGGGTGGGAAAATACAGGGCAGATTGGAAACTGCTTATCCTGGAGAAGGTCCATCGGTGTGATTGCTAAGAAGCAACACCGAATGGATGGCACGTGAGTCAATTCAGTTGTGAGAAGGCTCAAAAATATGTGGAGGAGCCACACCCTAGTCCTCAACTTACCACAGTTCATTTAGTGACCACTCAGAGTTATCACGGCACTGAAAAAAAGCGACTTCGGACCGTTTTTCACAGTGACAGCTTATGGTCATGTGACCAAAATTCAGACGCTTGTCAACTGGTTCATACTTGTGACCGTTGCAGCGTCCCTGGGGTCATGGGGTCGCCTTTTGCCACCTTCTGACAAACAAAATTAATGGGGAATCCAGACTGACTTAACAACCAGTTTAATAACTTATCAACTGCAGTGATTCACTTATCAACTGTGGCAAGAAAGATCGTAAAATGGGGCGAAACTCATTTAACAAACGGCAGAAACTTTGGGCTCAATTGTGGTCATAAGACGAGGACTACCCATCACGCCTCGCTCCAGGATTGCTATGTAACTCCTGGGTAGATGTTTTGAAATGATCTTGGAATGGAAACAGCTGCAAAGATCACCCAAAGATGCTTTTTCAAAAGTCAGCTGGACTTTCTTGGCGTTTCTTTCCACTTTGGAAACATTTCGCTTCTCATCCCAGAAGCTTTTTCAGTTTTAACTGAAGAATTTTAGAACTGAAGAACTGAGGTTAGAACCGAAGAAGCTTCCTGGAAGAGAAGCGAAAGGTTTTCAAAGAACAACCCAAGAAAGTCCAGTTGTCTTTTGGAAAAGCACTTTTGGGATAACCATGACCTAGATCAGGGGTAGGCAACCTTGGCTCTTTTATGACTGGTGGACTTCAACTCCCTGAACTCCTGAGCCAGCATGGGAATTCTGGGAATTGAAGTCCACGAGTTCTGGGAATTCTGGGAATTGAAGTCCACCAGTCATAAAAGAGCCAAGATTGCCTACCCCTGACCTGGATGATTGAGGATTTCTATAGCCATTTGGCCATTGGTTCAGTGGCTTTTACAATGGTGTTCAATGAAGGGGCTTAGAACTTAGAACTCAAAGCATCACATGAATAAAATTCTGGCCCTCATGATTGCCATTTGTGATCTTTGCTGTTGGTTCCCCACAACAAAGTCAATAGAAAAGCCTGCAGTGAAGATTGAGGGAGGAATTCTAAGAGTTGTGGACTTCAGCTCCTAGAATTCTCAACAAGAGAGAGCCATCTTGGTTAAGGAATTCTGGGAGTTGAAGTCCACAGTTCTGAAAGTTGTCCAGTTTGGGAAATATTAACTTAGGTGGACACCTATTAACTATCCCCAAGATGAGGCCATCACCTTCTAAAACAGGGGTCTTCAAACATGGCCCTTTTATGACCTGTGAACTTCAACTGCCAGAATTCCTCAGCCAGGCATACTGGCTGAGGAATTCTGGGAGTTATAGTCCACAGGTCATAAAAGGGCCAAGTTTGAAGACCTCTATTCTAAAATATTCTGTTCACTGTCCCATGGGGAAACACCACCATCTGGTTGCACCTTGGTGTAGGATCCTAACCTCACTGGAGCAACCCAAAATATTTCTGCAATAA